GGGGAAAGGAAAAGAAAGAAAAGTAGAGGAAGGGAAGGGAAGATTGGGAAAGGGAAAGGAAGGGAAGGGAAAGGAAGAAGGGAAGGGGCAGAGAAAGGAAAGGAAGGAAAGGGAGGGGAAAGGAAGAGAAGTGAGAGAAGTGAAGAAATGGGATAGAAAGGGAAGGGAAGGGAAAGGAAAGGAAGAGGAAACAGAGGAGAGAAGAGGAAAGGAGAGGAAGAAAAAGGGGAGGGGAGGAAAGGAGAGGAGAGGAAAAAAGAAAGAAAAGTCACTTGGAGTATTGAGAGGTTAAATAAAAATAATAATAATAATAATACCTAATAATACTATATAGCATTTACTACATGCCAGACACTATGTTAAATGTTTTACAATATTATCTCATTCAATTCTCATAACAACCCTAAGAGGTAGGTGCTATTATGATCCTCATTTTACAAATGAGGAAACTGAGGCAACTAGAGGTGAAGTGACTTGCCCAGGATCACAAAGCTAGTCTGTCTCTGGGGCTGGATTTGAGCTCAGGTCTTCCTGACTCCAAGCCCAGCGCTCTATACATTGTGCCACCGAGCTGCCCAAATGACTTGCTTCGTTCAGTTAGTATGTATCAGAGGAATGACTTAAAATAGGATCTTTTTAAATTTCAGGCCAGCCTTCTATCTATTATGCCATAGGGTCTCTCTATAGACTCATTAATTCATAGAATATCAGAGCCGAACAGGGCTTTGGAGGTCACCTTCATTTTACAAATGACACGAGCCTGGAGAGGTGAATTTACCTTCCAGAACAACTCAGATAATTCTATAACCGGCTGCCTTTTCTTCCACATTAAACTACATACAGCTTCCTTAAGAACAGGAACCTAGTCTTTCACAAGCCTTCCTCCTACCCCACAGTCCCTGGGACAGTGTTCTGTACGTAAGGAGGAACTTTGAAATCGGCGTTGTTTGACAGCCTGAACAAAAGTTTCCATTTTTTAAGTGTAGAAGCAGTCTTCCTGCTTTTATTTTGACTTCACAAATGGCAAGTAGAGTTTCAGAATGACTCGCAGTATGAAAACCCAATGTATACTTTGCCACTTCAGCCTGAGAGTAGCAGACCTGGATACCCAGAAATGAGCTAGATGGAATCCTTCCCTTTCTGAAATAGCACAGCCCACTGTCTGCCTCTCTGATGCACATTTCCTAGTCTCATTTGTGTGAGAATTGTTTGTGTACACGCCTCATCTTTCCTGCCCTGCTATAAGTTACTTGAGCACGGGAGCCATTCTTATTTGTCTTTGTATGTCTTCACCCTCAATCCTTGCTATCGTTGCTAGCCACTTATTCCAACTCTCATTTTACACACAAGGAAACTGAGGCCCAGAAAGGCTAATTGACTTGCCTAAAGTGATACAAGTTGCTATTGTGGTAAAGCCAGAATTTGAACTCACTTCCCCTCATTTCCCTACTAGCATGGAATTATGGTATCACGGTTGCCTCCTGCCAAAAAATTTTATTTTCTAACATTCTGTGGTCTAAGGTGCTTCCCAGCTCTTATGTTCTATGATAGCTGGTTCTATGAATAGCCACTGAATATAAGTATCAAGATGATGGAGACATACTTAGCCTTTTTCTTAAAAAAAAATAACCTCTAAGATAATTTAGCTTTAGAGAAATGACTGTGGGAAGGAAGTCTGATGGAGTAGGTATAAAGTAAGTGAATTGCTAATATTCCATGAATGTTGAATAAACTGGGAGGTTAGCAGGCCCAGGTTCTACCACTCACTCTTCCACTAGCTAGCTGTGTGGCCTAGGTAAGTTCCTCTCTGAGCAGATGGTATCTAGGGTTCCCTTCAGTTCTAACATTCCATGATCTGATGTCCAAATCCTCAGTCACAGCACAGAACCTGGAAGCTAGAAGCCCAGGTTCTGTCCCACTGTCAAACTCTCTAGTCTTGAGAAAAGTCGACTTCATCTCCCAATAGTTTCAGTGTTCTTAAGGTCCAGAGGCTGCTTCCCAATGGACTAGGGAAGGCAGGTCATGAAATCATATTCATAAAGCATCCTGACACCACCAACATCCAAACAACTTCAGAAGAACAAAGGATGAGTCATCTGAGACAGCTGCATGGGCAGGCTCTGTCTTGGAGATGAAATTTCTGACTAGCGTTTTAAACCTTCTCTAATAAAAGTTTAAAGCAGCAGAGAAGAATGGAGCCAAAGTTAAGGGGATCTAGGGTCTTAACCTGGGTTGAGCCCCTCCTTAGCAGGAGGACAGCAAATGTATTGTTAAATTGGGAAACTGAGAAAACAGAATTGACCGCTGACAGCCGCTGCCTAAACTCCTTTTGCTCCCAGTTTGATCTGTCTCAGGGACCCTGTAATGGTGCCTTTTATTTTTACTAATTCAGTATTTATTGCAACAAGTTAATGCCCTTTTGATTATGCACACGGCATATTCCTGTCTGGAACCCAGCTGGCCATATGTTCTTCCAAAGAGTTGCTGTAAATGCCCGTCTTTTCCCATGTCCTTTCAGAGAGAAGACGCAAAAGTTTCATGTGGTTGCTAAAAACAGGAACCCAGGCTTCTGCAAACACATCGAGCCTTCCTTATTTCTAGCAGAGGAAGTATGCGGCCTGTTTGGCAACTGCCGTTCTACATGATAGCATGAGCTTCATAACACACACCAGGGCCCCTCACCACAGCCATCATTCAGCTGGTGCAGCGGCAGCTGATGGAGATTGAATGACAGCGCTGCCTGGCTGGCTAGTTACTACTTGGAGCTCATGCAAAGAGTGGAAGCATGCTCACCGTTTAAAGGTAACCTTCCACTTCTTTGGGCACAGGGAGTGGGGAGTGGGTTAGACCTGTCTTTTCTAGGGTGGGTGGGGGTAGAGTAGCTATGTTTCTGTCTCCCAGAGAGCACTGGGCAGAAGTTCTGCCAGGGCAGGATGCTGAACGTGAAAGCACACAGGAGACAGAAAAGCTGATTTAGGTTGCTGGGATGGCTTGACCTAATCTCAAAATGTTAGAACAGGAATAATGGACTTCAGGGATCACCTAGTTCAACTCATTCATTTGATAGATGAGGGAACTGAGGCCTGAAGGGGTAAAGTGACTTAAGGTCACATAGCATGCGACATTAGCTAGAACACTAGACTTGGAGTCAGGAAGTCCTAGATTTAAATCCTGCCTTGGACGTTTCCTACCTGTGTGATCCTGAGCAAGCCATTTAAGCTCTCATCCCTCAGTTTACTCATGAGGGAGTTGGATCTGATGGCCTTTAGGGACACTTTTAGCTCTAAACTTACGGCCAGATTTGAACTCAGGAAAATGAGTCTTCCTGACTCCAGGTCCAGTGCTTTATCAGTTGAACCACCTAGCTGCCCCAGTCCACCTGTAGGATATCTCATTAATTAATTTATCAGAACTATGAGCTAAGTCTCAGCTATGCTGATGGAGTGATCTCAGGCAAGTAATATTCCATCTCTGGGCCTCAATTTCCTCATTTGTAAAGTGAAGGGATTGATTGACCCATATGATCTTTGGAGATCCCCTAGTTTTAAAAATCTAAATGCTAATATTCTATGCTCTAGGGCCTCTCCCTGATTTGACATGCAACTTGTTCCAATGATCACGTCCTGCCCCACTTCTAGTGCCAGAGGACCCAGGGTGGATCCTGGAAACCCAAGGTTGTTGAGTAGGAGGGATAGGAAGAGTTGAGGATGATGACGCTCTAGAGCATAAGCAGCAGGGTGAGGAGATATCTGGGAAATTAAACCCTGAATCCTCAGGGAACAGAGGACAGATTTTGGTTTCTTCCCTTATTTCTGGTAAACTTTTTTTTTAATCTTACCTTTATTCATTCATTCATTCACATAATAATTATAATAATAATAGCTAGCATTTATATAGAGCTTACTATGTTCCAGGCACTGTGCTAAGTACTTTACAAATATTATCTCATTTGATCCTCACAACAACTCTGGGAGGTAGGTGCTATTTTTGTCATTTTACAGTTGAGGAAACTGAGGCATTTAGAGGTTGTGAATTGCCTAGGGTCCCTCAGTGTCTGAGGCTACATTTGAACTCAGATTTTCCTGAACTGAGACCCAACACGCTATCCACAGGGCTCTATCTATCTATTTATCTATCTATCTAATCTGTCTGTCTATCTATTTCTATCTATTCATCTATTTCTATTTTCATAATCTTTCTAGATATGTGTCTACTTTCTGGCTGCAGTAAGTAGAATCTAGTGAATCTCACTGACTCTTCCTTCATGAAGGAGAATGATATGTCAGCATGACCTTTCATAAAATCTTCGTGCTAGAAGATTGCTGAGAATTTAGCTACTCTAATCCTCTGCCCAGAATTAAGCATTAATTATGATTCTGTGATACTGTAGATAGAAAAGTTATAGAAGGTTATTTTGAAAGTTACACTTTTCCTTTATTAATCTCTGAATTGTCTTAGGAAGTAGGGTGGCAGAATAGCGCATGAGAAGAGCAATGGATTTAAACTCAGAAGTCCTGAGTGTGAATCCTTGCTTTTGCCTTGCAGGTGTATTACTCTGGGCCAGTTAATTCACCCTTATGAGCATGTTAGACTAGTTGATAAAGTGCTTAGTCTTAGAATTAGGAAGACTTATGGTTAAATTCTGTTATTTACTAGCTGTGTGACCTTGGGCAAATCACTTAATGTCTCTGGGCCTTGGTTTCCTCAAAGAAGGGATTGGACTCAATAACTTCTAGGGTCTCTTTCAACTCTAAATCTGCAATCTTATGATCCTATGACTTGATGAGGGGCGCTAGGTGGAACAGTGGATAGAGTGCTAGGCTTGGAGTCAGGAAGACTCATCTTCCTGAGTTCAAATCTGACTTCAGACACTTACTCGCTGTGTGACCATGGGCAAATCACTTAGCCCTGTTTGCCTCAGTTTCTTCATTTCTAAAATGAGCTGGAGAAAGAAATGGCAAACTGTTCCAGTATCTCTCTCAAGCAAAGCCCAAATGAAGTCACGAAGAGCAGGACACGACTGAAATAGCTAAATGACAATGACTTGATGACCTTAGAAATCAATGATATTCCACCTCTAAATTATGATATCCCATTTCCTCCTTAAAATGAAGTACATAAAAAAAAGACTGGCTAATTTTGATTCAGTTTAATTTGGATCTGGTTAATTGAGACTTCCCAGGACATTTTTCCCCTCCTAGAAGCCTTTTTTTAAAAGAGTAATTAGAATGCAATACAATGTTAGATACTAATTTGTATGTACATTAAAAAAAATAGTTGTAAGATCAAGCTCCTAAGAAGCTAGCATGAAGGTATTCCTTGATAGAGGCAAAAAGTAATCATCTCTCATCTCTAGTTATGTCTGAAACATCACAGTATCCAGAGTTGGAAACTACTCCCAGAGATCTCCAAGTCTATTTCATGACTGGACAAAAAACTTCTACAACACATATGAAGAGTGGTTATCTAGTCTTTGCCCCCCCCCCCCCACAAAAAAAACTCTAGTAAGGGGAACTTATCTCCTGAGGCAGCCTGTTCCACTTGGGGACAATGCTAATTGCTAGCAAGGTTTTCCTTATGTTAAACCTAAGTTTATCCCTTAGAAGAATACTTCAGAATCAAGTTGTAGGCCAAATCTTAGCTGAGGCTGTCTTACTTACAATCCAAGAAGTTTGTTTAAGGGAATGATATTTTTGAAAGACCTACATTGTGTCTTGCTCTGTGAATTCTAAGCTTTGTGATTTATCCATTAGGCAGCTTCCTTTCATACTGGGGAAGTTAAAAAAAAATAAAAAGAAACTTTTAGTAATATCTGTTGCAATCCAGCAAAATCTTCTCATGGGAAGCTTTTTGTGAAAGGTATTAGATGTATTCTGAATAACAAGAAAACCTTTTGAATAAGTAGCATAAAGAAAAAAATGTTGAGGACCATTCTGTCTCTTTGGTGTTATTAAACCTGATAGTAATTAAACATATGATAAATATGAATAATAATTTAAACATATAACAAACATATAAATATAAATGACAGTTAAACATGTAAACAAATATTAAACATAAACAATAATTTGGTTAGGTGGATTCTGAATTGGTTGAGTAGCCAGGGCTAGAGACTACTCATTGAAGATTCTCTATTAAATAAACTTGAAATGCCTCTAGTAGAGTTTTCAGAGACCTGTGCTGTCCAACATTTTTATCAAGGATTTGGATACAAGCATAGATGGCATGCCTGGTAAATTTGTAAATGGCACAAACGTGGGAAAAGATAGCTAAGGTGTCGATTGACAAAGTCAAGATCCAAAAAAAATCTCAGACAGGAATAATAAGTCAAATCTAATCTAATCCAAAGATTGAATTTAATAGGGATAAATGCTTAATCTTACAGTTGGGTTCAAAAACATCAGTTTCACAGCTATAAGATTGGGGAGGGGAGAGGGCTAGACAACAGGAATTTGAGAGTATTGGTGGATGGCAAGCTTAATATGAGGCAACAGAGTGATAAGGAAGCTGACAAAGCTAGTATATTCTTAGGCTAAAGTAAGAGACACTGTGTCTGAGACTTAGGGGTTGATGGTTCCTCTGTACTGTGCTCTTATCAAACCACACCTGTTGTACTCTGTTTAGTTCTCAGCTTTGACAGGCTGGAAAATGTCCAGAGGAGGACAACAAAGATGGTGGAGAGCCTAGAGTCCATACTATATATGTTTTGGTTCAAGAAACTGGGGATATTTAGCCTGGAGAAGAGAAAATTTCAGACTTAAGGTGGGGGTGCATAAAAGCCATCTCTAGGACTATTCAAGATTGGACTTGTAGTGGCTGACTTCAAAGGAAAAAAAAAACAAAACTAAGACCAATCAGTAGAAGTTGTTGAGTGACAGTGTTAGGCTTGATGTAAACTTCCTAATCACTAGAGCTACCCGGAAGTGGAAGGGGCTGCCCTTGGGAAGTAGGGCCTTTCACTAGAGATTATCAAGCCAAAGCCCAATGAGCCCTGGTGAGATATGCCATAGTATGGTTCCTATTCACGTGGAGACTGAACAGCTTGGCCTCTGAGGTTCTCTTAGACTCTGAGAGTCTGATTCTGGTCACAAACTGTAACAAGAAGGTTTAAACGAGACCAGTTAGACTATAAAACCTGTGATATGGCCACTCCTTGAGTTTTCCAGAAACCACATACATCAAGAGAAAGTAAATCGCAATACCAAGAGATTTGGATGAAGAAGTCATTAAGTTTACGAAAGACATTGTTATATAATGAAGGAGAAATATACTGGATTTGGAGTCAAAACATCCACATTTTTTAAAATTTATACACTCACCAGGTAGAGCAGGACAGGACCACCATCTACTCCAAAGCCCCATTTTATTGATGAGGAAAACTTCCAGCAAGGGGGAAGTCAAACTGTCAAACTATGGACAACTCTACAGACTCATGTGTACATTTTTATGAATGTTATTAAAGGGTTCTAGATCTTGATTTTAGAATGTTAAAAACATTTGTGTGTATGTGCTTGTGAATATTAGAATGTTGGAGCTGGGAAGGACTTTAAGGTCATCTAGTCCTCTTCATTATACAGAAGAGGGAACTGAGACTGGGAGTGGGGGGGTTGGAGGGTGACCACAGTCACCCAGAGCTAGGAATAGAACCCACATTTCCTAATGTCCAGTTCAGAGCTGTTCCACAGCACCTTACCCTCAGAGATATGAGAATAGAACCCACATTTCCTAATGTCCAGTTCAGAGCTGTTTCCACAGCACCTTACCCTCAGAGATATGAGAAAAATATGCTCTCAAGTATCTTA